TAAATTTACTTTCATTCCAAACCTAATGGGGTGTCGTCATGCTGATATCTTTCACAGTCTCCTTGAGGCGAATCTTACTACTGATGTTGACTCTTCTGACCTAAATACCTCGTTTCAGTTATTTTGTGATACCTTGAAGAATATTATTCTTCAAAATACACCGCTCAAGAAAATTGGTAGCACCAGCTTCCCTTGCTGGTTCTCTACTGATCTAATCAACCTTATCGTTGAGAAAAAACGACTTCACCGGATTTACAAGAACACCCTAGATAGATCGTCCTACTTAGAGTTTTCGAGATTAAGAGAAGAATGCCGTCGGCAGTCGAGGCATTGCTACAGAGATTACATTGTATATGTTCAAAACTGTCTTCCCAATAACCCCAAAGTTTTTTGGAGATTTGTCAATAACCTAAAACGGCAAGAGATCGTCCCAAGTAAACTGACACACAATGATCTGTCGTCAACCCAGCCTGAGCAGATGTGTGAACTATTTGCTAGTTTCTTTTCATCTGTATTCTCTCCTCCATCAATCCCTACAGTTCAGTATAACTTTAATACTGTAAACTGCTTGAGTAAACTTTCTTTCACTACAAATGAAGTTTTTGAAGCATTAGGAGATTTGGATACGTCTAAAGGCTGTGGACCTGATCTCATTCCTTCAAGTGTTCTAAGATATTGCAGAGTATTACTGTGTGACCCTCTTCATGTTCTGTTCAACAAATCCCTTCGTAGTGGTGTTTTCCCTGATATTCTCAAGCTTGGATATGTGATACCTATACACAAAGCAGGTTCAAAGGAGGATGTTAACAACTATAGACCTGTGGTTATTCAATCTGCTGTGGCTAAGGTGTTTGAGAAGTTGGTCGTAAAGAAGCTCACTCCTCTATTTAGAAGTATCCTCTCTCCGAGACAACATGGGTTTACCTTTGGTAGATCTACCGCTACCAACTTGGCTGTGATAGAAACTGAAATAATTAAGGCGTTCAATGCTCGCCAGCAATTAGACGCTATCTACCTTGATTTCTCTAAGGCGTTTGATAGAGTTAGCCACCACCATCTCCTGGCTAAATTAAAAGCTTATGGAATAATTGGAGAGCTCCTAGATTGGTTCGGATCCTATCTTTCCAACCGTAAGTTGAGAGTTAGATTCTTTGGACACCTATCAACTGAATTTGAAGTGACGTCGGGTGTACCCCAGGGCTCGCATTTGGGACCGTATCTTTTTAACACCTTTGTGAATGATATTGTTGAGGTTATTGGGTCTGACTGTCTGCTTTTTGCAGATGACTTGAAAGTGTATGGAAGAATTACCTCACCGGCTGATTGTCTGTTGCTTCAGGAGAGTCTCCAGGCTATTGTGAATTGGTGCCAGATAAACAACATGTCACTCAATGTGAAGAAATGCAACTGCATTACATTTCATAGAATTAAATCTGCCATCATCTTCGACTACAAACTAGATAACATTCCACTGACTCGTTGTGAGAGTACCTGTGACCTTGGTGTAATGCTTGCTCAGGATTTGAGACCCAATTTACACATCCAAAACATCTGTGCGAAAGCGTCTAGATCTCTTGGCCTGTTAGCACGTTCGTCCAGAGACTTTGATGACCTCAACTCTCTTAGGACACTCTATTGCGCCCTTGTACGTCCGCTGCTTGAATATAACTGCGTAGTATGGTCGCCGCATCAGATTACCCTGGTTCGGGAGCTTCAGACCATCCAAGACAGGTTCTTACGTCTCCTTGGCTGTCGGATGGGGTTTGCCTTCAGAGAAGTTCCTATTAGAGATCTCGAGCCATTGTTCAACCTTCAAAGCTTAGAAGTCAGAAGAGATGTTTTTGGAGTAGTGTTTCTGCACAAGCTGGTGAATGGTTTCGTGGACTGTCCGGAGCTGCTAGGCCAGATTGGTTTCCTTTGTCGTACTGGAACCAGATCTACCGACCTTTTTGGAAGACGGCATGTGAGCACCAACTATGAGGCAAACAGCACCCTCAATAGAATCCAGAGACTTGGGAACAAAGCCTCACACCACATCGACTTTTTCGCTGACAGTTCCACATCAGTCAAGAGGAGCCTGCTAAGAGTCGCAACTGACGAGCTCTACAGCCTGCGACAATGACACAGTAGTTTGTAATGCATGTAGACACAATCTTTTGTTAGTATTGAATAAGTCAGATTATATTTTGTGTAGCAATTCAGTATTCATTAGTTTAACATAAGTCAGATTATCATATTGTTGTCTTTTGAAATATTTATTTGTTGTTATTGTTGCATGATCAAAAAAAAAAATATATATATTTATTGTTGTTGTAATTCTGAAAATATTTATTTGTTGTTAATGGTTTCTTAAATGGTATATGGTGATGTTATATTGTTACTTGTACTTAGCACACATTTTTTGCTGTTGAATTTATAGACTAATGTATTAATTACGTTGTTGCTGTTGTTGTAATTATTTGTAGATTTGTATCACATCTTGCTTTGATTTTTATTGTTATTTCTTGGTAATGTTTCAATGTAATGGGTTTCCCGTTGGAATAAATGAATGAATGAATGGTACGCCTGGTTCACGTCAATGGAATGTCTACTTGCAGTATCCAAACTCAATTGTATGAAGGCCTAGATTTGGTTCACATAAATGGAGTGTCTATTTGCAGTATCCAAAGTCAATGGTACGCCTGGTTCACGTCAATGGAATGTCTACTTGCAGTATCCAAATTCAATTGTATGTAGGCCTAGATCTGGTTGACATAAATGGAATTGCTATTTGGATTATTTAAAGTCAATGGTGCATCAGCCTTATTCCGTCGCCCATAATTATTGGTATTTCATTTTGTAGTAAATTATACTCAATGATATTAATCCGATTGTTCTTCCCTTTTTCTCTGTACGGTATTTGTAATATGCTATTTAGATGATTCGTTGACTAACATATGTTGCGACTCTTGTTTACCTTTTTATTGTTATCTCGCAAATAATGCCATGGCAACCAATTAACCCATAAGGCCCATGTTAAATTTCCAAAAGTTTGAATTAACGTAGAGAAAACCCCTGTGGTCCAATTTGTACCATTTCAGATTTATACCTTCCCATGGTCGGTTACTATAATTGTGCTAAATTTGGTGCAGATCGCTTAAGCCATTCAGGAGGAGTATTTGTAAAACAAAAGCAGGAGTGTAGTATAAGAGCTTCGCTTCGCTCCGCTCAATAAGACTGAATGGCTCATGGTTTTTGTGGAAGACCAAGTCTTTTATGTGCATGATTAAAATATGATTTTATTACTCACACATTAAATTATCTAAATGAAATGCTGCCAAAAAAACAATTAAACATCGGTTCGACTGACTGTTGCCTTACGGCTGATATCAGCCTGATCATTCCGAGTGTTCACTTAAGTGGTTCTATACTAACATAGCGTATTGTAATAGTACCGGTATGTAGCATTGTATAGCTGTATACTTTATTTGATATGGTGCTGTATGCAAGTCCAATGCAAATGTATAGAAATTTGTGTAAATTTGCTACTCCCCTGAGCTTTAAGGCAAGATATTTAGATTGTGTGGGTTTGATTTTGCTTTAACTTTTATATAATTAAGTTGGACATATTCAATCTGTGAAAATGTTTATTGCAAATTTGATTTGTTGTTGGAGGATCGAGAAGTAGTTTTTTAAATTTTATTATAATCATGTTAACTTAAAGTAAACATTTATTTTATGTTAAATTATTTTATAGATAGGCTACCTATAAGAAAATTATTGATCACTATCCATAGTGTTTTTCTAACCTTTTTTGTAGTACCTTAAAACTCATAAAATTAATACCTTTTATATGTATTTGTTGCACAAGCAATGCAATTCTGATTGTAAATTATATACGTATATAAAATGGACTCTAATAATACTATGGTGATGTATCTGTTGTTTTTAGATAATTGAATTTATCACAGACAAGGGAAACTTATCAAAAGTCAATCTTTTATTTCCTTAGTCAATGAATTTATGTACATCGATTTTTGTGTCATTAAACTATTATTTCTTATTGTTGATGCTGGGGTTTTGTTTTCTTCAACACATTACAATTAGTTAAAAAAATATGTTAAATTAAAAGTGTAAACTAATATACCATTAATGTTGGATACTTTGATACTTTACAATGAAATGGCGACCATACAAAGTAGGTATTTTAAGCCAAGTATGAATGGAGATGAGTGTAGGATGAGTGGCGCGATCTTGTAGTCTTGTTAGTGACTAAGGCCGACATATTCCTTAGACACAGCTGTTAATTAATAGCCCATACAGCTAATGGCAACCAAGAGACCTACAGTTCATAGTGGAATCCAAACCACATTTTTGCCTTGGTATTATCGAATTGGTCTAATTATCAGGATAGTACTGCGTATAGTCGTAGTATTCACTAGTGCGGACGTTAATCCACACCAGGGAGTATCACATCCACAGTGCATGCCTATAAATATCCACAATTTGTGACCTCCTAGTAGTTGGATTACAGGACATCGCCACCACTGTAAGACTTTAGGACTTGCAAGACTTGGGATGTTAAGATGTGTATTTCCTCTATCTTATCTAAGCGTATAACTTTACTCTGCATTGCATACTTTACTCCTTGGTTGAAATATAAACAATGGTTTACAATAGTGATGTATCGATTCCAAAATTTATCGATTCTCAATACTGATACAGTTTTTTAGACCCTACTAAATTTTCTGTATGGTTATGATTATCCTATATCAACCTCTCTTTATAATTTTATATCCTTATTCAAAGTAATTATTTGGTAATGGGGTGGTTTTTAATAATGCAGCAATGACAAATTCTAACTAACCAATTCAAATTTAAACCGTTCCAAACACATTAAATAGCTACCATATCGAAGGTCTAACAAAGTTTTTAATCAAGCTGAGCTCAAGGTAGTATGTTGATCATCTCCTACAGTTATGGAGACATCTTCATCGTTTTCCAATATCACTGCAAAGTCCTTAATCTTCTTCAGTCACGGAAACATAATCTGTCTTCTGTGGTTGCGCCAAATCCTTAGTACAGCTCAGTGGTATCGGAAACATCATCGTGGTCTCTCTCGATGGCGGCCAAATCCTGATCACCTTCAGATGTGTTGACATTGATATCATCTCCCCTGATTGCAGCAAAATTCTGATCACCTCCTGCAATTGTGTAGACATCATCAAAGTCTCCTGCGATCGGGTAAAATCCTGAATATCCTCCACAGTAATGGAAAGATCATCATTGTCATCCGCGATTGTGCCAACATTTTGATAATCTCCGGTGGTTGTGAGCACATAATCGTCGTCTTCCGCAGTCACGGAGACTTTGTCGTCACCCGCAAGCTGCAAAACCATTAGTCTTCGCAGATGTGTCAGGTATCGGAATCGCTATAGACTTTTGACGATCTACTCTTGATACTGATACCAATATAAAAATATCATTGGTATCAAGAACCGACAGATCCCTAGTTTACAAATAGACCATTTTGACTTTAAAGTTATTGAAATCAGAAATGATGAATAGTAATCAGCTTAACGTACTTAACAAGTATCGTACAGAAAAATACCTAAATAATTGGTCTTAAGATGGCACATACAGGAGAATGATAGTATCTCAGAGACCAATTGTGAAGAATTATTTGTTAAAGTCACTTTATTAAGGAAACACATTTTGTGTATTTATTTCTAACTAGATTTTAATGTAGAGTGAATAGAGCAAGAAACATTTTGTAGCTTTGTTGTTGACCAGTGACCAAGACTAGCTGTTTATTTGACCAGAAACTATTATTAAGGCGAGTACTAAATCTCTGGTAACCAATCACTTATGGTATCAAGGAAAAACGAGTGAGTTATAGAAAATGGATGTAAAAAAAAAACATTGCAGGGTTAATCAATTTATATTTGTTCATATGATTAGTATTTATACTAACTTCAAAACACTTGTATACTTATTATTTATGTACATCGATTAGTGATCAATGTTCACTGATTGAAATTTACTTCTTTAATATAGGTCAATATTTACTTCTTGCGGCTTCCTAATAGTCTTGCCTTCCATGATTGAACTAATCTCCTCCGCATCGAGTGTTTCATACTTCAAAAGAGCTTCAGACAGTTCTCTAAGTTTGTCCTTGTGAGCGATAAGGATATTTTTAGCTCTTTTGTAAGATTCTTTCAGGATTTTGTTGACCTCTGCATCTATCAGGTTTGCAGTTTGAGGACTCATCAGGGTCCGGTTGCTGTAACTCGATAACCCAACCTCGTCTGACATTCCCCACTTTTGAACCATCTTCGACGCCAGATCAGTTGATTTCTCCAAATCACTAGATGCTCCAGAGGTAACCTTTTCTGTTCCAAATATGAGTTCCTCAGCGGCCCGGCCCCCCATCATGGTGTCAATCATGGCTAGTAGTTGTGTCTTTGTCACATGGTAATCATCTTTGCTGGGGATGAAAGACGTGTGTCCCAGAGAAGACCCTCTAGCAATGATTGAGACTTTATGCAGAGGTTGTGCGTGTTCTGTGAAGTAAGCCACCACAGTATGTCCGCCCTCGTGGTAAGCTGTGATCTTGTTCGTTTCTTCATCCAGTATTTTCGATAGTTTCTCCGGTCCCATCAACGCCTTATCTATAGCGTATTCTATATGTTCTGCAGTGACGAGTTCTGTTCCCAACACAGCTGCCCTCAATGCGGCCTGGTTCACCATGCTCTCTATGTCTGCCCCAGTTAAGTTGGTGGTTACTCTTGCGATTTTTCCTAAATCGATATCACCATGGGGCACTTGACCCAAGTAGTGATTGAGCAGCTCTGTTCTACCTGTGTAATCCGGGACAGAAACGTTTACTTCAACGTCAAACCTTCCTGGCCTCAGGAGGGCTGTGTCTAGATCACCTCTCCTATTTGTTGCTCCTAATACAACGATTCCGCTGTTGCTTTTGAACCCGTCCATTTCTATCAGTAACTGGTTGATTGTGTCGTTAGCGTGCGGATGCATATCACTCGATGTTCGTTGTTTTCCTATAGAGTCGATTTCGTCAATGAAGATAACACACGGGGTGTTTTTCTTGGCTAGTCTAAACAGATCCCTAATCCTCTTTGCTCCGAGGCCGACAAACATTTCATCAAACTCAGCTCCGGATTTGTTGTAGAAAGGCACTCCAGCCTCCCCAGCAATAGCTTTTGCCAAGAGAGTCTTGCCTGTTCCTGGCGGACCGACAAGAAGAATTCCTTTTGGTAGTTTTCCTCCAAGTTTAGTAAACTTTTCGGGATTTTTCAAAAACTCAACAATGTTTTTCAATTCCTGTTTCGCTTCGTCTGCTCCTTTCACATCACTGAATTTATAACTCGACTTTGTCAAATCTGTGCGGACCTGAGGAATTGACTCCAGAGACTGAACCTCACGAGAAATCATTTTTATCATTTTTGCACATGAATATAAAATAAACACCAATGATAAGACAAAAATGATGATTAACAAAAGTGATACTATTAATAACAACTCTATCGTCCAAGGTAGATGCAGGACATGATTTCCACCATCATCAGTATCATCGCCGTAACCATCATCGTTGCCACTCAAATAATCCTCCATTTTCCTGTTTCTCATTATTTGTTTTTGAAATTGTGTTTGTGATGATTATTTGAAAGATTCCTAACAGCTGTTGGGTGTTTTTTTTTCTAACAACAGGTTATTCAATGCAAAAGAAAGAACCATAGAGTTATTTCATGGAAGAAAAACATATTCTTATTACATTTTGTCATGGTCTATTATATGTTATATGTGAATGTGAATTTCTTCCTTAAGTGAGTCTTACGTTCTTACCCCAACCAATATGAAGACCTATTGTTATTGGTTCTTATTAAGAAAAAATGACTTTATTTAAACAAAGACTGTTGAAGATTTTCTTAGTTTTGGGGGTTAAACCAGTTAGTAGGTTAATAAACAATCTAAACTTAACATGAAACATAGACTCTATACTACTGTAGATAAGACGTTCTAGATAAAAACAGAAAAAATAAGTCACAACCAACTAGTATAACTATCTATACCCTTGCCAATTTATGAAAAGAATCTTTACCCATTTTAGAAAAGAGATGATGGTATGTGATGCAAGGTTAAACATTTTTTAAATTTAATTTTACTTAAAAAAGTATACAAAACACTTAGTACCAACTCTAGGATTGTGATTTGGGGTAGTTGTCCAGTAATGAATCTTGAAAGATAGAGTGAGAGTGGGTGGAACGGATCAATGTACCCAGCAGCCACCTGTAGCCTCGAATTCTTGCAGACATTCTTTGAGATTTATGTAAGCTGAGGAAATAAATACAAGGGAGCCCCAACTATGATTTCCGCTGAATATGATTTTCTATTTAATTAATTATCATTCAAAATAAGCATGTGTGCAGATAGCACATTATGATAGGGTACAAAACACGTAACTGTAGCGAGACGAATAATGCAATATCCTTTTACCTTTTCAATACTACATACATTGTAATTAACAAATCATTATTCAACAAAGACATCATAACATGAATAATAGGTTTTTAAGATGAATGAATAAAACCTAAAACTTACTATTTACAATATTTAAAAAATATGTCGATCACAGTTCCATCCGTATGAAGGCATAAAGAGTAGTGATTTACCTGCTCCAATAAGGTTACAATTATTAATAAAAGTAGCCTATTCAAATATTAAAATATTAACTTTTTGCCTCTTGTTTACAACTAGACTGTGGTCAAAAATTCGAAATATGGTATACTGTAATGTAATGTTGAGCTAAATAAAGTACCTATACTATTTCTTACATCATACTGCAGCAAAAACAGGAGTTTTCAATACATGCATTACAGGTAACTTCATTTAGGGAAGTAGTTATTACCGTAGGTGGCACGGTAAGACCATAGACTAACCAACACAAGTAGACTTCTCATCCCATTGTAAATTTTGAAGCACGTTTTTCGTGTCTAGTTCATGTACGTGACACAAAGGCGCTAGTGTCGACGAAACTTTGTTTCCATTATTTTAGGGTTAATTTCTTGATTTGTGCTTTACTGTTTGGTTATATAACTAGGGGGCAAGTTATTGTTTATGATTAAATCGTATTATTTGGTTAAACGAGGTTTTATATGGCTGTAATAACGGGAAACAAATTGTAAACAAAACACGACCTCTACATAAACCGTACATGAACTAACAATAAAATTGTCTTCAGCTGTTCCATAAGGATGAGAAATCTACTAAGGGAGTATGTTTTATCTATGGTAAGACCTAGACCCGGGACCGATTTACTTTTTCATTTTGATGTCCCCAGAGGAAAAACACACCATTCGTTCAAATTTTTATATATGTATATATATATATATATATATATATATATATATATAGACTTATATATATATATATATATATACTAGCTGACCCGGCGAACTTCGTATCGCCTAAGTTATAGGTTTCCCCTAAGACAGACCGATGGAAAGAAAGTACCGTTACGTTTAATTTTCAAGATGATCTCGTTCGCATCGCTCAATCACGTCCTGGTTGAAGTTTGTTCGCTACGCTCACTCACCTTTGGGTTGGAGCTCGTTCGCTACGCTCACTCACCTTTAGGTTGGAGCTCGTTCGCTGCGCTCACTTGCCTTCAGGTTAGCTCGTTCGCTACGCTAACTCGCCTCCAGGTTGAAGTTCGTTCGCTACGCTCACTCACCTTTGGGTTGGAGCTCGTTCGCTACGCTCACTCACCTTTAGGTTGGAGCTCGTTCGCTGCGCTCACTTGCCTTCAGGTTAGCTCGTTCGCTACGCTAACTCGCTTCCAGGTTGAAGTTCGTTCGCTACGCTCACTCACCTTTTGGTTGCAAATTAGCTGTTGTCATAAATGTAAAAGAAATAATAGTGCTGCACCCTGTTGGTAATCCTTGTAACTTTAATGCTATTGAACATCATAGAACAGAACCAACTTGTTTAACACGTTCGCTACCACAATTATATGGAATTTACGTTCGCATAGACCAGCGACGCAATTGTGCGTCGACTCGTTTCTCACAATAGACCACCGACGCATATTTGCGTCAGCTGGTCACATTGAAATGGACTAACGACGCACATTTGCGTCGGTATTCTAATGTTATTAAACAGCGTATTTCTTAGCAACGGTCTATTTTAAAACCCGGATTTTATCGTATCGGTCTAGAGGGATATCTGCCGCAAATGTGCGTCGCTTGGTCCGTGGATATGACGATTGGTTACGTCACACAACAGTTGGCAACATTGTTGTTTACATTGTGTATTCCGCGACATCACAGAACAGATGTAAACGTTATAACCTTTGAAGTTTTGGCTAGTGTTTAGTGTAGTTTCTTTAGTTGTTTGTGTAAAAGTTTGAAACAACCAAATTTACAACGACGCTTACGTGCGTCACCTGGTCTATTGAAACGAAAATGTAATATTTTTAACTGGATTTCGTTAAATAGACTGACCGACGCATATATGCGGCGTTTTAAAATTCGCTCATACCGAAAAATAAAAACAATATTTATTGCTTACTAATTCACTTAAGGTTATTATGAAGTCAATTAGTCCATTTAAACGATATTTCTCTTTTGGTCTGTCGGCAATGTTATTCCTATATCACTTGGTCTGTAAGCAACGTCATGATCATTCCTTTTAGTCTGTAAGAGTGACCGGACCGACGCAAATGTGCGTCGCTCGGTAGCGAACGTGTTAATTGAAACAGCTGTTAAGATTCATTAATTCCATTTCTCATAAGGTTAACATGGGAAACTCCAGAGCCACGGGGGCGGAGCCCTTTTAAGAATTTCGAAACGGGAAATAGTTTACGTCCGATTCGCATACCTACAGAATTTACACACCAAATTTCATAACGATCGGTGAAGTCGTTCCGGAGGAGTTTGCAGACAAACACTGTGACACGAGAATTTTATATATTAGATATATATATGTCCGTGAACGCGATAACTTGAGTAATTTTTGTCCGATTTTGATGAAATTTGGTTTAAAGGTGTAAAGCGGGATAAACTTGAATGCGTTCGCGAACCAGCATGATCGGACCATGGGAACGGGGCTTTACGGGGGGTTTTATGGGGGGTTTTATGGGGTAAAAATTGGTTTTTCTCACTTTTGACCCTCAAAACACAAAATTTCCCAATTTCTCTTTAGACCTTTTTAAAGAGCTTAAAAAAACAATTAATTTAGTATATAAAAGTATTTTTGTTCGGTTAATAGTAACGGAGAAAATTAAAAAAATTGTAAATTTAAAATTCCCATGTTATTCTTATGGAGAATATTGTTAAATGTTGTAGTTTGCTTGTTTATGGATAAATTTTGTATTTTGATCAAATTTATTTATTTTGTACTAAGCTACCAATATTTTACAAAAAACATACTTTATTAGTTTCCTTGTAGCAGCAAACCTAGGTACTCGTTAAACCTAATCTTATTAAAATATATTTAATTGAAAATCAATTAAGACAAATGGAAATTCGCTTAGTCAGCAGGTTTGCTGCGGCGGGGGTTTTTTCTTTTATTCTCACATCAAAGTTTGTGGTTTTTGTCACGACTCTTTTTCTTTTTCTTTCAGACTTCTAGATATTTTCTGATGGCAGCTGGCTCAATTTTTTTTAACTTGTGTTTTATTTCTGCTCTGCAAATACACTAACACGTGTATTGTTAAATTGGTGTATTAAAAATAGAGCACAAATAAATATGATAGATATAAAACGTTAAGAAAAATGGGATGAGTGGAGGATGAGTGTAGATAGTCTGCAAATAGGAATTCCATTAGTGAACCAAAGATACGATTGAGTTTCGATACTGAAAGTAGACATTCCATATTGACGTGAGCCAGACGGATCATTGACTCTGGATATTGCAATTAGGCACTCCATTTATGTGAAAATGAACCATTGTCTTGGATTCTCTCTGCAAAGTAGGAAATTCATTTACGTTAACCAGTAAGCTTTCACCCGACAAAGAAACACAGTTAATAATTTTTTATTTAAGTAGAACCAGATAATAATAATAATAATAATAAGTATTTTAATAATAATTTGTTTATTGTAGTCGACAAATACATTGCATTACAAATGTCAGATAATATTTGAAAAAACAATACAAGTTATTATTTACATTTGGTCAGAGGTTTTTTTCACACCAGTGCCTGAATTTTTTTCGCGACATTTCCTAGAATTTAGATATCCCAGCGTTTGTTCATGAAATCGTCGACAGAGTAGAGCACATTGGACACCAAAAGGCGTTTTAACCGAATTTTGAATTTTTTTTTGTTTTGGCATGTTTGATGCTGGCAGGAAGTTTGTTGAGGATTGTGATACCAATCTGCGATGGCAAAGACTCGAACGCCCCACTTCTATGCTGCAGAGTCCGGTAATCGT